AGCCGAGCGCAGAGCGCCGGGCAAACGACAGCAGCCGTCTGTATTCCGTCTAGGTTCGGGCCTGGAGCCACGGAAGAAGGAGGAGGAGGGGCGAGGGAAGCCCACGGCCAAGAAGTATGCAGGGGAGGGGTGGAGGGGAGGGTGGGGAGCCAGCAACCTGATCCGCACCCTCCACCCTCCGGCTCCGGCGCGCCGCGCACCCCCTCTAAATGCAGTCGAATGGGCCATCCCGTCTCTGCAACACAATCATAATGAGTTGTGAATGTGGCTGTGTTGTGATTGGATGTCCCCGGCGACGGCGAGCAGACGGCTGGAGGCGGCAGGCGGACAGACCGCCGGGCGGGCCGGGCCGGGCCGGCCAGTGGTGGCGGCGTGGTGCCGCTGGTCCAGGACGGGGATGGGGTGCATGTGGACGACGGGCACGGCAACCCCCATCACTTGGTCGCGGACAGCCGACGAGACAGGTCGCGGGGTCGCGCCGCGGAATCACGCACCCCGAGGACTCGCGGGTGTCGCTGCCGTCGCGGAGATCGAGCCGCCGAGGCCGTGCCGCGCACTGCCGCGCCCCGCTCCGAGCGTGACCGCCATGACTGTAGGCCTGTGGGGCTGCGTGGACTCCTGCCTCGCCGCCGTCACCTTCCCCGAAGCCGTCATGTTCCCCATCCACTACGCCGCGCCCAGGACGCCGCCGAGGACCGCGCGGCCCGCGCCGCCGTCCTCCCGCGGCAGCAGCAACAGCAACTGCAGCAGCGCGTCGCCACCGTCGCCGCCGGTGTCGCCGCTGCTCGCTGGGGTCGGCGTCGGCCCCCACGGCGGGTACTTCCGCCTGGACGTGGCCACGCCCCCGCTGTCCTCGCGCGCGACCTCCACCCCCGGGCCGTGCGCGCCGGGGAGGCCGCCGTCCCCCGGGACCCCGGAGAGGCCACGCCCCCACCTCCGCCGTTCGTCGACGCCAGGCGCTTCCGGGGTCGTCGTGGCCGAGGACATCCCCCTGCACGCCGCGTCCAAGACGTTCCACCCCGCCGCGCTGCTCGCCGCCGCGGACACCGACACGGTAAGTCTCATCCGCTGCCTCCAGCCGAGCTGATCGCACTCGAACCTCGAGAACCTCGTCTTACTTTTGCGTCCTCCTGCAGCAGGTGGGCGAGGACTGCCTCCAGCTGCGCCTGTCCGTCGAGGGCCACCTGGACGTTGACGCCGACCCCACCCCCAGGTGGGTGCGATGCGTGCGGCTCGCCGACGACTGCCACAGCGCCAACGTGCAGCTGCAGGTGGAGAGGCACTCGAGGAGGGAGGCTGGCGTCCGCTGCATGGTGCGCGCCGTCCGACCGCTGTCCCGGGGGCAGGACCTCCTCATGTGGTTCGCCGACGACCTCCTGGCGTGCCTGCGCCTGCCGTTCCTCGCCCCTCACAACAT